CTCACAGAGAAAAAATGTGACAATGAGTATGTATATGTCCATGAATGACTGAAAAATTGTGCTTTACACTGGAATTTGACACAACATTGTAAAATGATTATAAATCAATTAAAAAAGTTTAAAAAATAAATAAATAAAGATGAACATAAAAAAAAGAAGAAGAAGACATACAGATGGCCAATAGGCACATGAAAAGATGCTCAACATTGCTGATTATTAGAGAAATGCGAATCAAAACTACACGAAGGTACAAACTCACACTAGTTAGAGTGGCCATCATTTAAAAGTCTACAAATAACAAATGTGGAGAAAAGGGAACCCTCCTACGCTGTTGGTGGGAATGTATATTGGTGCAGCCACTATGGAAAACAGTATGGAGATTCCTTAAATAACTAAAACTAGACTTACCATATGATCCAGCAATCCCACTCTAGGGCATATATCCCAAAGAAAACTATAATCTGAAAAAAATACATGCACCCCAATGTTCATAGCAGCACTGTTACAATATCCGAGACATGAGAACAATCTAAATGTTCATCAACAGATGAACAGATAAAGAAGATTTGGTATATATACACAATGGAATACTACTGAGTTGTAAAAAAGAATGACATAATGCCATTTGCAGCAACATAGATGGATCTAGATATTATCGTACTAAGTAAGTCAGAAAGAGAAAAATAAATACCATATATCACTTATATATGAAATCTAAAATATGACACAAATGAACTAATTTACAGAACAGCAACAGATTCACAGACCAAGGGGAAAAAAGCTTATGGTTACCAAAGGGGAAAATGGGCTGGGGAGAGATAAATTAGGAGTTTGGGATTAAGAGATACAAACTGCTGTATATGAAACAGGTAAACAACAAGGCCCTACTGTATAGCCCAGGGAACTATATTCAATATCCTGTAATAAACCACAATGGAAAAGAATTAAACAAAAACAAAAACCCTGAGATCAAGGCATGTTCCACATCATCTCCCAGAGGTCACCACTCAGAGGTGCTCAGCCAAATTAGTCCCAAATTAAGGAGACTGTGTACTACATGTATTTGTAAAATGGAAGAAACACTTTTGCCTTTTCTGTTCCCTTTTCCCCCAGGAATAATTTAAATCAAAAGAAATAAAGATGTTATAAAGAACTCCCTTTTCCTGTGCTTGTTTTTCTAACATTGCATGTTATTTCATAACATTGAAAACACAATATGATGACCAAAAACAAGCTAGGCTTCTTTAATTCAACTTATTCTTGGCTTCTAAACAATGGTGGGAACAAGGCCCATTAGAAAATGTGACCTCCGGACACATTGTCATTAGGGAGTCTGCTAGGACTGATGGCAGTCCTTATGGTCTTTCAAGACGTAAAAATTAACATCTTTCTCTTTTTGAAAAGGAATTTCTTCCCCTTTTTCTAATGCTGAGTTTCTCCATTTTGAAGTTTTCAGATCTGTACTAGAAATTGCCCTCTGTGAGATTTCTTCTTAATTATCTGCAAGATTTCATGAAAATAGCACCTGCTATATACCTTCACCTTGCACCTAGCTGAGTGACTCATCAAATTGCCAAGTGGCTGTAAATAATAAATTTCTCTTTGTAGAAGAAGGTGGTTAATGAATTCAATTCTATTTGCAAAATTGCCTTCATTCTCAAGCTGTTTTTCTACTCGTTATAGTTTCCTGCATCGTTAACTTTAACAGGAAAAAAAAAGTGTAGAACTCTTGTATTCTATTTGAACAGAAAGTTCTCAAACATCCTTCTATAATAATGCAACTCTGGTCCTCAGGGGCTGATAGAAACTTTCAAAAGGACAGCTTAGTGTATTATATAAACTCTTTTTATGGGCACTTTGATTAAGTGTTGGTAGCAACGTAGAGACAGAGCACCTGCTGCAGGTGTAGATAGAGAAGGAATAGTGTGGGGCAGAAAAGTTAACTTCTATCCTTCCTTAAATGGCCTGAAGTTAGCTACCACCAGATGTGATGGAGAAAATGAACCCTGTGCTGTATTTACTATGAAACAGAAAAGTTGAGGATTCACAATAAAAGCCAGAAAATAATATTATAATATATACATACCAATGGTTTTATTCAAAGAATCTTAACTAAACAGTCACCTTGATGTATAACACAAACTTCAGTTGCCATATTTACATATCCACAGACCTATCTGTACTAATAGATTTTTAAATTTACTCACCACCACCCCCCACTTAAATAAATCTACTTAATAAGGAAACTTAAGGAAACCGAAAGTGCAAAGATCTGTTATTTCCTCCCTCTGCCTCATCCGCCCTCAGCCCCGGACTGAGCCCCAGCACCTAGCACGGAACTTCCAACACAGCCCCCTGCTGTTGGCCATCAGATAAATTCTCCTCACTCTCCTGAGGCAGAGCTCTCTCTAGTGGTCCCAGGTGTCACTCCCAGCATGCTCTGGGAGCGGAGTGTGGGGGATGGCAGGAGCTCTTTCAGGCAGTGTCTATCCAGGGCAGCACCCTCCAGTCAAAATATAATATGGTCCTCAAGTGCAGGCGACACATGTTGTCAAAAATGTTTTAATAGCCACGTTGAAAAAAGTAAAAAGAAACAGGCAAAATTAATGTCTTATTTTACCCGATTTATTCAAAATAGGACCTTTTCAACATGTGATCCATACAAAAAAATTATTAGTGAGACACTTTACAGTCTTCTTTTTTCCCTACTGTGCTTTGAAAATTGGATATGTGCTTTACACTTATAGCACATCTCAGTTTGGATTAGCCACCTTCAAGTATCTGATAGCTGTTTGTGCCCAGTGGCCCCATATTGTACAGCATGGATCCAGACATACTGTGGTAGTACATTCACAGAGGGGCAGGTAGGGAAAATGGCCCTGCTTTAAATGCCCCAGGTATCACACCTTGGGAAGCACTGCCAGTGGAGTTTCCACAGCCTGAGTTCATGATACTAAGAGATTCCTAGTTATCTTATACTGAATGCAATTCCTTAGTTAATGTCTCCTCAGAGATGTTTCAGGGACTTCTAGACTAGGGGTTGATCATCCCATCTTAAAATGACTCCTTCAGACTGAAACAGACCCATCAGGGTTCACTTTAGTCTGAACTGCTTCTCCTTTGGGCCATTGCTCAATCTATACAAATATTTTGGACCAGTGGCTAAGGAGCACCTGGTTAGATAGTAGGTTTTATTTTCCCCCTTTCTCTAGGCAATTTCTGTGCTTTTATAATTGAAGCTTTCAAAGCTGTTGTCAGTGAGCTGTCTCTGTAGTGCTTCTACTGCACTCGAATACTATTTTATTTCAGGCCATGGGCATAGTCAACATGGAGTGTGAAAAAGGCTGTATAAAGCACAGAGCCATTTTAAAAAATTATCCTCACTACATGTAAAAATAGCCTGCATTCTGTCATCTTGAGGGAGTGATGCTCTAGAGACTAGATAAGTGCTCTACTCTGTTTCCATTTGCAATACAGATCTGGCCTAAATATGCCAGTTCTATTTTTTTTTCTGGTGTTTTTTAAAATAATTGAAACAATATTTAAATATAAAAAATAACTAATTTTGAATTTTTGGCCACTGGCCAATGGATCATAAAGTTGTAGAATTACATACCTTTGTACAGGGTGAAAGGATTAGAGGCCCTCCAGGCAAAACCTCTCATATTGTAGATGAAGACGGTTTTTTTAAAAAATGTCTAAAAGTCTCGCTGGGTTTTAATCCAAAGACTTTCAAACATCAAGGTATTTTAAATCATTTATATTCTTAAGAAATAATCATAATTTTTTAAATAAAAATTTATGTAATAATCATATATTAGAATTTTCCCATATGCTAAGAAGTTTGGTAGATAAAAACAAATTATTGTATCTCGGCTTATATTTATCCTAGTATATTATGACACATTATGATAGAAGTTTCCTTAATTTGTAATGCTTTTAATGAACAACTAATAGTTTAGCTAACATATTATTGTTACTTATAATATATAAAGATACTTTTCCTCTGTGGTTAACCACAGTGATAACATTGGCTAAATAACAAACTAAAACTTTAGCCAGAGACATAAGAAATATTATAATAATATAGCAGAAGGTATTTAATGACAGAAGGAAGACTTCCTGAGCAAGAAAGTTATCGAAGCACTAGAATGGCTTACCGCAGGAGAGTGGGATCATTATATATAAATGTAGGTTATTTCTCCATTATTCAAGGTTTGTGGAAGGAAATGTACCTGCAAGCAATGAAAAACATTTCTCTTTGTTTTGGTAATTTCATTCTTTTTCTTATTTGTGAAAGTAATCACAAGCATTTTAGAAAACATGGAGATAAAATCTCACCCATGCAGAGAGGGATGTATTAGAAGGTGGGGATTAACATACACACATTACTATATATAAAATAGATAAGAAACAAGGACCTACTGTATAGCACAGGGAACTATATTCAGTTTCTTATAATAACATATAATGGAAAAGAATCTGAAAAGAAAAAATAAATATGTATGTATATGTATAACTGAATCACTTTGCTGTACCCCTGAAAGTAACATTGTAAATCAACTACACTTATATTAAAAGTTTTTTTTAAAGAACCTCACCCATAATCCCACTGCTCTAAATGTAACCCAGATTAGCAATTTAGTATTCCTCATCCCTGTGTTATTTTCTGTACAGACATTTTCATTTTACATAGCTTTAATCAGATATAAATATATTTTCCTATTACTTTAACTTATTATAACATAACCATTTTTCATATAAAACATAATATTCAAAAGACATGTGATGCGATAATTCTATGAGGTATTATTAGTCCATGTATTTTATTCCCTGAATTGATAACCATCTCTCCCCTTTGGGCTGCAAGACAAGAGGCCACCATCCGGTTAGGGTCAGGAAAGAGGTCAGTAATTGGTGTGGGAATAAAGACACTGACTTCTAGCCTTCTAAGTTCAAAAGGAATGTCCAGATAT